CACGAGGGCCTAGAGGACGCAGTGTCTCGTTCCCTACTCAGGGAACCATGGTTACATACGTAACCTGAGACGTTTTGTCATTTCATGCTTTTCAAGTGATTCATTGTTCTGCATATTATTGTATATTGTGGGAGAACATCTTATGAAATCTCTGTAATGCCTGTCATAAGGACTTTGTTAGCATGACTAAACTGCATGTGAATGTGCAGGTACGGAAGTATAAAACCATTGCTGAGCAGAAACAAAAGAATGGGACAGAAGGAGCGGGAAGCACAGATGAGGATGACCTACAGAATGGTCTGGACCCTCATATTCTAGATCTGCAGAGTAAGATATGCCTTTAAATGTCATTCACCATCAGTCTTGATGTAGGCTGGTTTGTTTTCATGTAAACTCTTTTTTTTCTACAGGAGATGCTAACAGGCAAATCAGTGACCTAAAATTCAAGCTGGTCAAGTCTGAACAAGAAGTCACAGCACTTGAACAAAGCGTAAGTCACTGATAAAATGAACACAAGACTTTATATCCGAAGGCACAAATTGTGCTCTTGCATGCAATTTCATCATCAGTAGTTAATAATGTTCTCCTTTCAAGTTTAATCTCCCTTTATGCACTGTTAATTTTGTTCGTATTGTGGTACAACCAGTTACACAGGAAATTATCTGACATTATTTCATGCATAACCTGTAATCTCTGTCATGTGGCAGATCATTCGGCTGGAGGGTCAGGTGAGCCGCTATAAAACGTCCGCTGAGGCTGCAGAGAAAGTCGAAGATGAACTAAAAGTGGAGAAACGCAAGCTGCAGAGAGAGGTACACTAAATCATAAAAAAAACACTAATATTCTAAACAACTCAGCAGCAACTTTTTTTGGTGAAACATTCTTGCACTTAAAAATATTGAGTACATTTCATAGCTGTGAAATCAATGAAATATACCTTATGAATTGAGTAAATGTGAGTAAAAAAATATATAAATAGATCTGAATAAGTGCATTTGGTGCCATGACAAATAAAACTGAGTAGACACAACAAGTTAAAAGAATAGTTCACACAAAAATGAAAATTTGCTGAAAATGTACTCACCCTCAGGCCATCCAAGATGTAGATGAGTTTCTTTCTTTATCGGAACAGATTAGGAGAAATTGAGCATTATATCACTTGCTCATCAATGGATCCTCTGCAGGGAATGGGTGCCGTCAGAATGAGAGTTAAACATCTGATAAAAACATCACAATAATCCACACGACTTCAGTCTATCAGTTAAGTGGATATTTTTCTTACAAAAACCCATTGCTTTGCTTCAGAAGGCATTCATTAACTCACTGGAGTCGTATGGATTACTTTTAAGATGGATGTATGCGCTTTTTGGATCTTCAAAAACTCAGGCACCATTCACTGCCATTACAAGAGCCCAGATATTATTTAATATAACCCCAATTGTGTTCATCTGAAAGAAGAAAGGCATATACACCTAAGATGGCTCGATGGTGAGTAAACTGTGGGCTAATTTTCATTTTTGGGTGAACTATTCTATGAACTCATTCTGACGGCACCCATTCACTGCAGAGGATCCATTGGTGAGCAAGTGATATAATACTAATAAAATTAGTCAAATACTAATTTCTTTTTTATGGAAAAAATAAATAAATAATAGATGTAGATGCAGTTTATGACAAAATAAACTGTTGGATTTTTGGGCAGTTAGTTGGGTATGTCCATCAAACGCTTAAGCTATATTCAGAGATTTTATTAAGGTAGTGTAATTATTATTTTTTTTTAATTTACAAAGTCACTGAATTTTTTTAGAGTGTGATGTAACAAGTGCTGTATTTATTCTTTAGCTGAGGTCTGCGCTTGACCGTATCGATGAGCTGGAAGCAAGCAACAGCCACCTTACGAAGAGACTAGAGAAGATGAAGGCCAATCGGAGTGCTCTTTTGGCACAGCAGTGACGTCCATCTATGCCCACTCTGCAGTCAGGGGCATGATTCCCATCTAGTACCAATGATCTGCCACCCATATTAAACTAAAACAACTATCAAAATCATATAAAATTAGCCCAATCATAATCATGCTACTTCAGACTTTAAAAAGTAAATATGGCTGACAGGCATGGACATCAAACTTCATTTGTTTGCTAGTGGGAGTCCAAGCGGAGGACATCAAAAACTCTTACTGAGGCTCATTAAAGTGACCTTTGGTTTGGATTAGCAGAATTCAGGCCCTCAATGAGCTCTCAAAATGTTTTGACTGGTTACGGATCTCTAAGTCAATGAACCAACTCAGCACAGGCAGAGCACAGCTATGGCAGCATGTTCCTTTATAATCCAGTGGTGAGGGACATTGAATAATCTTAGCAGACCATGCACTTTATCCCTTCATCAGTACTCAAATTTTGTGTTATATGGAAACTGTAACATATCTGCACACGGAACTGTTTTGCAAAATGAGGTAATGGAGTTTGTGTAGTCCAGATATTATATGACTGAATTTATGCTCTTATACAGAGAAAGTGTGTGTTATTGCAATTTTTGTGCAGACGGGGAGTGTTGTTTATACAATCAACAACTTATCAAATTATTGGAGAATTGCTATAATGTCCATTTTGTTTCATGCCAAATCTGTGTGTGTGTGAGCGTGTGTGTTGGTCTGTACGTAAATAATGGGGACTAACACTTCATAATGTTAGTCATTTTTGTTTATATGCTAATGTTGTGTAAACAAGGGGCACTTAAGACATGGCAAAAAAAAAAAAGATGCAATAACAATGTTAATATAACTTTATGGAGTATATTTGGGGATAAGCCAGGCTTCAAAAGATTTTAATCATTGTTTCAAATGTTCTCAGTGGCTGCACTTAGTTTTCTTTGTTGCTTTATGAAAGCACTCAATACATTTTTCTCACATATCCATTTAACTGAAGTGGGCCAAATGATGATAATACTTTTCTTTTGTTTAATATGCAGGTTTTAGACCACCTACTTACTTTCTGTGTTTAAACTACAAAACTATAGTTAAAAACCACAGAAGCCTCATTGTAATATGATTAGTAGAATTAGACGGACAGTGAAGCACTGCTGATCATTATACTGTTTCATGTTCAGAAAGATGCAATAACAATGTTAATATAACTTTATGGAGTATATTTGGGGATAAGCCAGGCTTCAAAAGATTTTAATCATTGTTTCAAATGTTCTCAGTGGCTGCACTTAGTTTTCTTTGTTGCTTTATGAAAGCACTCAATACATTTTTCTCACATATCCATTTAACTGAAGTGGGCCAAATGATGATAATACTTTTCTTTTGTTTAATATGCAGGTTTTAGACCACCTACTTACTTTCTGTGTTTAAACTACAGAACTATAGTTAAAAACCACAGAAGCCTCATTGTAATATGATTAGTAGAATTAGACGGACAGTAAAGCACTGCTGATCATGATACTGTTTCATGTTCAGTTTAAACTCAGATCATATTGCAACTATATCATCTGAGGGCTAAATGGACATTTGAGATGTCACCAGCCTTTAAAGATACAATCTGTAATCTGAGTCTTGCTTTTGAAAACATGCTGAGTCAACACAATAAATGGGAGTGCAGCTCTTTTATTATTATTTTTTTTTTTAAAGCTGGTCGTTGTAGCACTTTCAGTAATGGTCTGACATTTACAGTCTAACATTAATCTCATTGCATTTGGGGTTTATAGAAATTAACATGGCTTTTTTAAGAAAAAGGAAAAAAAGGTATTGTTTTGCAATAATGCTTTTAAGTGTAAATTGACCATTGCATTTACACAAAAACTTTCCAATGTACATCATTATGAAAACAGCTATAATAACGATCGTCATGATGCTGTATCTGCTGTGTAATCGGTTGTGATAAGAAGATGATTATTTTTTGCTGATTGTGAGTTTCACTTGTATCCCTCCCCTGGGTTGGGCTACCATTGGAGACACCTTGTTTACACACTCAGTGAATATGAACATGCCATCTCTAAAGAACTGATATGCTGAACTTTAAAAAAAAAACAGACACAGACATACCTATTACGTTGTTTACCTGTATTACAGCTCTTCTGTATGACATGGCATAGCAAGAAATAAACTCATGCAATAACACTGACTTTTAAGGTTTTTATTTATGTATTATTTCATTCTTTTATTGCATAATTGAAATGTTTTATTAATGTCTTAAGAGCAAGCAAACAATAATTGATAAATGGACCATGCTCCCTTTTAAAACATTCAACATAAGTTTGAACAGCAGAGGGCAGCACTGATTTTCAGCTTATAAATCAGTTCCGCATTCTGGTGATCTTATCTATGTTAAAGGCACTGTAAAATCTCTCAGTAATATACATCGTTGGCACCCTTTGGGCAATTTCTTATGTTTTTTTACTTTTTTTTTTTTTTATTATTATTATTTTTGCCTCTATAGCCAAAACACATTCAATGTCACTTTTCCTTAAACTAATATAATAATTCCTTTGTGTTATCCCTCCTAAACAAATCTGTTTAAAATATGCTATGCAAAATCAAAAAGACGAAGAGAAAGAAAGTAATAAGGACGTACAACAAAGGAAATAAAAGGCCTAGATAAAAGTCTTTTAGACATGCTGGCCCTCAGAAACAGACAGCTGATCACTGGCTCCTGGAGATTTCACTTCTCTTCCATACAACCAGCCTAGCTCTGGCAGGCAGCTCTGAGCTCTTTGCTTTGAAAATTGCATAGCAGGCCTGTTCTTCTTGGTGTGATATGAAATCATTGAAAATGTAATATCAGTTGTACTCAATATGACAGGAAGTCAAGTCAGGTGACTAACGTAGAATGTTGAGTGACACATCATTCATACAATCATGATAACTATGTTAGGCCTGTGCAGGATGATGTGTTACACACACACACGTATTGTAATGGTATTATTAATGAAACACATTGTGTATATATATATATAAAAATGCACTCTCTATTCTAATTCTATTCTTTAGAGGAAGGAGGAGCCGGTGGGATGGAGCGACGAGGTGCAGCCTGAGGAGCGGAGTCCTGAGGTGATGGCGGGTCGACAAGGCGGAGCCGGAGGGACTAGGGAGCCCGGTGGATCGACGGGTGATGGTGGAGGCGAGGGAGCTAGGAGCCGAAGTGGAGCCGCTGGGTCTACGGGCCGAGGCGGAGTCCGGGCCTCGGAGGCTGGAGGCGGAGGTGAGGGGTTCTCCAGCCATGGCGACGCTGGAGGATGGAAGACCCGCGGAGCTCACACCGTAATGATGGTGGGCTGAGGGGCTGCCAGACGACAGCGGTGGAGGAGGCAGGAGCAGGTGGGAGGGCGGGCATTTGTGAGTCTCCGGGCATTCAGGGCTTAACTCTGGATCGGAAGCTCCCTCTAGGCTGAACACGGGAACAGGATGGCGCTCAGGAGGAGCAGACACTTTAGGGCGCTTACGAGGAGCTGGCACTGGAGGGCGCTTTCTAGGAGCGGGCACTGGTGGGCGCTCTGGACTGGATTCGGGGACTGGAGCCCTCTCCTCTTCGGTTTGGCACTTTCGCCGCGCCATATTCAGCTCACTCTCAGCCCCCCCTGCTCCAGCAGGAGGAGGAGGAATTCGGGGCGAAGGAGGGGATCCATAGAAACAACGGGAACAAAAGAACCTAATGGAAACAGGAAGGACCAAATAAGGAAACACGGGACCAGAAACAGGGGCAAAACACTACACAGAACAGTCCAGAATCCTGACAGCTCTATTCTTTTTCTGTTATCTGTTTTATTTTTATTTATTATATAATAAAAAAAAAAACCTTGCTACCTGTACTGCGTTAAGCTAACTGAGAATTGTTATAGAAGTTGTATATCATTGCTCTTTTGTTGATTTGGATTGCTTCCATTGTCCTCATTTGTAAGTCGCTTTGGATAAAAGCGTCTGCTAAATGACTAAATA